CCCCCACCTCCCGGGCTTCTCCCTGCCCTCCACCTGCCCTCCTTGATGGTAAATTGAGCTCCAATACCGCTTCTACCAACTGTGTCCTGTGATACTCCATGCACCCCAAAAGAATGTCACCTCAACCTGGTGGGAATGTTTGGACCCTAGGGTGGAGGCTGCCTGCTTCATCTCAGTGTCCCCAGGGCTCAAGCCAGGCCCCATGGCCTGGCCCCATGAGATGCATTGAGGGAGCATCAAAAACTGGCTGGGAAGTGGCTGGAAAGAGGTGCCCCTGGTCCCTGCTGGAAAGAGTGCCTGGTACCTATCTGTCCAAGAAGTGTCATGCCCTGGCCCCTTCGGGCAGGAAAGAAGGGGCAGAAGACACCTGGACTGTGTGGGAGGCAGAGGTGGGTTGGGGTGGTGGGCAGATCCAGTGCCGACTTGCCGGCCCTGACAGGGACAGTTGCTTCCTTGTCTGTTCCCGTCCCCTGGGGCCGTGCTTTGAGGCGCTCATTTCGGCCCCATCGGGTCTGGGTGGGTGTGTGCCACTGCCCCCTCCCTTGGACAGCAGCATGCCTTCCTTTTTCCCTCAGGTCTCTGTGAAGATGCAAGGTGGGAGACCCTGGAGGAGGGGAGCCAGCGCCTCCTGCCCTGGGCCTACCTGAGCTGCAGGTTCCTCATGAAGTCCTCCATGGTCACTTGGTCCAAAAGCACGAAGTCAGGTTTGCCACACTCAGGGCCTTCCTCGTCCTCCATCCTGCCGGCTGGAAATACCTTGCCTCACCTTCCTGTGCCTGCCGGCAGGACAGTGAAGGAGAGGGGAAGGGGAAGGGAAGGCTTGGGGAGGCCCCACCGCCCCCGCCCTGCCTCACCAGCCTCCTCCAGTGCTGGTGTAAAGTAGGAAGTGGGTTCTGGTCCTGGGAGGGGCTGCCCTCCCCACTTGCCACTCCTTCCCTTTCGAGGTGCTCTAAACCCTGCTTCCTGTCCCTGCGCCCCACAGGGAGGCTGTGCCTAACGGTCTGACCCGCTTGCACGCCAGGGCCGAGGGGCCGGATGCTGGGTCCTCCCTGCTCTGGAGGGTTCTTTGCTGGCCTCTTTCGGAAGCTCCCTTCCACCCACAAGCAGGAGACGAGACTCTGTGGGTTGGTTTCCAACCCTGGTAGCACGTTAGAGTCACTTGTGGGATTTTAAAGGATTTTTTGACGTGATCTTGGTTACCCGGCTGTGCGTGTCTGTCAAGTCAGAACTGAACACTAGATGCAATTTACTGTATGTACATTGTACATTAATACAAAAATGAAAAAAGATCTTAATATCCAGGCCTTTGGGGTGGGGGCAACAGCCTTCTTTGAAGTGTGAAGGCCACACTGGGGTGTAGATGAGCAAAGCTTCTTGTGTAACCTGCCAAGGACCAGTGGTCCTAGCACTGCAGTTCCCCACCCCAACCACGGGGGAGGGACGGAGGACCCCAGAGCATCCTCTGCATAGGGCTGGCCTTCAGTGGGACCCCTAACTGTCCTCTGCTTTGTACTTGCATCCAGCTGATCCCCCATAAACCCAGTGAGGACCACGTGCCTGGAGCCCTGGGGACCTCATCTCAGAGCTGCTGTCCCTGCGCTTTGAAGATGAAGCAGCACATTTGGGGAGTGGCCAAAATCTCCAAACACTGCATTCCTGACACTTGGTGTCTCCTGGAAGAAGTGGGAGGGGTGCAGTTCTCTTAGCCTCTAGGCAGACTGGGGAAAGTTCTTTCTCATCCCAGGACAGACTGGGGCAGGTCACACCCATCCTCTAAGAACACTGGGGCAATTCTCTCATCAAAGGTCCTCTAAGAACACTGGGGCAATTCTCTCATCAAAGGTCAAATGGACACAGTTCTCTCTCATCCTACAAATAGACTGGGAACATTTCTCTTTCACCCCTGCCCTCATACAGGGAGGTCAGAGGGCGGACTCCAGAATTCCCAAACTTCAGTCATTCATGTGCTGCCTTTGAGATTTGTTGTACTCGTAAGCACTATTTTAACTATTGTCTTTCAGTCATCCCATTTTTCAAACTTCGAAGTAATGGATAGGCAAGTTAAGGTTATTTTTTTCTCTCAAATACCTTAAAGTGAACGCATTCCTGATAAAACTGAAAGTATCCAAGTACCTAATAAAACTGAGTCATGCACCATCTGCGATAAGGGACCACTGGCCTGAAAAATCCCCAAATTTGTAAGTGGGCAGCCTCTGGCTCCACCCTGGGCCAGACCTGGGGCTCCTCTTAGGCAAATTCAAATTCAGTCCTTCCAAGCTCTGACAAGTGTGGTCTCCTCTCCACCCCCAGGCTCTTGGGCTGGTGCTTTTGAAGGGTTTCCCAAACCTACACTCAAGTCTGGGAATTCTCACCCAGACTCTTGCCAGCTCATCTCCCTTTTCAGTTTCACTTCCCCAACCCCCAGGGAGTCAAGCCAACCAGTGGAACCAACATGGCTGTGTTCCAGGAAAACGTTAAGGACACCGAAATGTGAACTTTGCAAACTTTTCATCTGTCACGTAATCATACTATTTTGGGTTTCCCCCCTGCCACTAATGACTTAAAAATGTCAAGACCACTCTTAGCTCAGAGATTTGGCCGGCGGGAGGAGTTTGCCCGCCCTTGCTTTAGACGCTGCTGGTTGCTGGGACCCTGGTCCTTCCTTGGTAGTTTGCACAAATTTGCCATGCATTGCCTCATTTGATTCTCATGACCCATGTAGGAGTTATTGTTATTTTCATTTTACATCTATTAAAACTGAGGCCAAGATGACATCACTGCAAAGGAAGTTCCCTCCTGGGTCAACAGACCTCTGGGCCCTTCTAGCACTGAATTCAGTGGGTCCTACTCAAACCCCAGGGAAAGCCAGTCAGTTAGAGTCACGGCCTGGTCCTCAGAAGGCAGGACAAGTGGTAGCTCTATCTGCTAGGGCATCCCCAGGGCATGCTCCTTACAGGGTCTGACTGGTAAAACAGGTAGATAAACAAAGGCAGAGGCTCCTAATGGAAGGACAGCAAGGAGGGGCCACCACCAACTCAAGCCTGGCGGGGGCTGAGGAAACCATCCTGGCCCTGGTGAGTTTCACTCTCATTATCTCATCCGGATCAGTTTCACGATACCTCCCAACACCAAGGCTCCTACTGCTGCATCTACAGTCCCCTTGCCCTCACCCTCCACGATGCAATCTTCAAATCCCAGGCGTGCTCTGTTGGTGCTGACCTTGCAGCAAATCCCCAGCCCCAGAAAAATATCCCCTTTCAGGGGAGTTGCTTTTTCAGCTCTACACAGTGTACCATAACTTAGTATTTGTATTTAAAATTTTTTTACCTCATCTGAGGTGCTACCATTGGGCTAGTTGTAGGGGAATGGCTCTACCAAGGCGCATACTCTCAGAGGCTACAGGCCACACAGCTCAACTGAGCCTGAAAAATCCCCAAATCTGTAAGTGGGCAGCCTCTGGCTCCACCCTGGGCCAGACCTGGGGCTCCTCTTAGGCAAATTCACATTCAGTCCTTCCAAGCTCTGACAAGTGTGGTCTCCTCTCCACCTCCAGGCTCTTGGGCTGGTGCTTTTGAAGGGTTTCCCAAAACCTTCTGGAACTGAGGGTGGAGGTCTGGGAGGCACTGCCATAAGGCCAGCTCCACTCCCTGTTCCATCCCTTTGGGAGGCTATCAGGAATTGCTGTCTCCTGGGATTTTTTTCTAAGCAGGGATGTGAGGCTTCCGGTTCATACCCCACTCCCCCCATGGTATAGCTGCAGACTAGACAATCTGCTCAGCTGCAGTCTAGAATTGGCTCCTCAACAAGGGTAGATGCTGTGCCTCCTGTTGCAGGCCCCTTTGGGTGCTTTTCCATTCACTGTCAGTAGTAAATTGAATGTAAGTCACTGGAGGCTGGGTGCGGTGGCTCACGCCTATAATCCCAGCACTTTGGGAGGCCAAGGCAGATGGATCACCTGAGGTCAGGAGTTTGAGACCAGCCTGACCAACATGGTAAAACCCTATTTCTACTGAAAATACAAAAATTAGCTAAGCGTGGTGGCATATGCCTGTAATCCCAGCTACTTGAGAGGTTGGGACAGGAGAATTGCTTGAACCCAGGAGGCGGAGGTTATAGTAAGCTAAGATCATGTCACTGCATTCTAGCCTGGATGACAGAGCAAGACTTCATCTCAGAAGAAAAAAAAAAAAAAAAGGGCTCGGCGTGGGGCGCGGGGGCTCACACCTGTAATCCTAGCACTTTGGGAGGCCGAGGTGGGTGGAGCACAAGGTCAGGAGTTCCAAGACCAGCCTGGCCAAGATGGTGAAACCCTGTCTCTACTAAAAATACAAAACTAGCTGGGCATGGTGGTAGGCGCCTATAATCCTAGCTACTCGGGAGGCTGAGGCAGGAGAATCACTTGACCTGGGAGGCGAATGTTGCAATGAGCTGAGATCATGCCACTGCACTCCAGCCTGGACAACAGACTATATCTCAGATTAAAAAAAAAAAAAAAAAAAGTCACTGGTACTTTAATGGCTCTATTTGTCAGGCCTTGGCCTGCTGCAACATTCCTTGACATCACCACCACCACCAACCTGGGGCACATCACACATATTAAGGGTATTACTTCTGTAACTTGTTTGAATGCTTAGGTGAATACCTAAGACGATCTAAAGAGACAGAATGTCTTATCGAGCCAATCATCAAATGTTCCTGGAAACCACTCAGGATCTCAAGGTAAAGCTCCTGATGACAGTGCCTTTGTGCACCACCACCCTACTGCAGAATTCAGCCAGTTGGCCTTGGCTTGTGAACTCTCACTGCAGTTTGCCACTGTCAGTTGAAACTGGTGGCACATGCACATAAGGTGATCAGAGTTCCAAGTGGCTATCTACAAGCATGAGCATTGAGAATGGTGAAATATTTGGGGATCCCTTGGACTTAGCTGATAACTCCTTCAAGAAGACACAGGGTCTTCCTTATCTTTGCTTATGGAAAGAAGAGGCAGGACTAAATCACATATTTAAATCCATATTTATTAAACAGCCCTTGTTTTTCATTCAGGAGATACCAGAAGGGCCCAGGTCCTGGTGCACAGCAAAGCTTCTCATTCTGGAAGCAGAGAACCTGGCACCCAAACCTAGGGCCAGAGGTCTGTCAGACCCATAGGCCAGGCCCAGAACTGGAAATTCCTGACTCCTTCCAGAAGGGCAGCAAACAAGGTTTCAAACTTGCTCAATTAAGGTGCCAAGACTTGCATTCAAATTCAGCTCCACTCATCAGCAGATGTATTAACACAGGCAGGCCTCATCTGTAAAAATGAGATGAGAAACACTTCACAGACCTGTTGTGAAAATTAAGTGACATAATTGACACAACTAGGGATTATTACAAACCCCTATTGCCATCAGCGGCAACAACAGAACCGAACCCTACCTACCAACTCCTGAACCCACTCCCACCATGAGCTGAGAGGCCTGTGACCAACCTCAGTGGCAGCCCATGCCCTTTCCAGGGGCTGAAACACTGGCCACTGACCTAAGGTTACTCCAGAGAAAAGACTATGTATGTTGAAACCAAATCACAAAAGCAGTAAAATACCACCCCCAAGAATCAGGGTTCATGAGTCCAAACACTAGACAACTGTTTGTCCCAAAATAGTCTTGTGAGCTCGAAGACAATGAACCTTTCTGGGATTCAATCACCTGACTTACAATACGGGAAGGTCAAAATAAGGCGATGGTTTTTGAACTTTTTCTAGCCAGGTGATTCTAAATAAAACAGGAGTGAAGTGACTTGCTAGGTGAGACCTTCCTGCACACTTACCCCTGCACAGGTTCCAAGGAACAGCCTAGCAGCCACTGAAGGTATCTTCTCTCAGGTCAGGTCCCCTCTAGCTCCGGCATCTCAGGATGGCTGCTGTAGAAACTCTGAGGGATGGCAGGCACTCTTGTGCCATGTGCTGGGTCAGGGACACAGAGTGGAGCCACTGGTGAGAGGTGGCTGTCAAGAACTGGCAGCTAACAAGGTCACCTCCCAGTTTCATGGACACTGGTAGAAAATACAAAATTCCTCGATTAGGGACAAGGGACCATTGATTATTCAAAGCAATAGCAATAGCCAGAGCATCAGCATTTTCTACCACCCTCCCAAGCCCCAGTTCCCATAGGGAAGTCAGAGGCACCTGCCTAGGCCATTGGACTATTACAGGAAAGGAGTGCAGGGCTCTACCCTTTCATAACGCACAGCAAGAATACCTGCTCTCTGCTCTGGAAGAAGGTACTACCTCGTATGTTCCAAGGCTGTCTGCTGCACAAACATCCTTGAAAAGATAATAAGGAAAAGGGGTAGCCAGTGCTTTACTCACAAGATTGCTTGAACATGAGACTCAAGGAGGGACCTCAGCAGGCCTGGGGTGTTCAGCAACTGTTCCTGGCCTGAAAAGACAGAATCAGCTGGAAGACTCTACCTTTAAGAGAGGCGACCCCACCACCCAAAGGAACACAGGAGCTGTGCTGCTTGTGCTATGCCCAAGCCAGCAACACTCTTCCCATCCCAGTCAATCAATTCTTTTTTTTTTTTTTTTTTTTGAGATGGAGTCTCGCTCCTGTAACCCAGGCTGGAGTGCAGTGGCTGGATCTCAACTGCTGCTGGCTCCCACCTCCCGGGTCACGCCATTCTCCTGCCTCAGCCTCCAGAGTAGCTGGGACTACAGGTGCCCGCCACCTCGCCCGGCTAGTTTTTTTTTGTATTTTTCAGTAGTTTTTTGTATTTTTCAGTAGAGATGGGGTTTCACTGTGTTAGCCAGGATGGTCTCGATCTCCTGACCTCGTGATCCACCCGTCTCGGCCTCCCAAAGTGCTGGGATTACAGGCTTGAGCCACCGTGCCCGGCCCCCCCAGTCAATTCTTTAACACACCTAACACCAAGACAAGAACTTGAAGGCATCCATCTCCTTCCCACCGGCTTCTATATTCCACTCAGGCTGCAGGATGAGAGAGGCCTGGCATCAAACCCTGATCTGTTGGTTTGTGGCTGGGCAACCCTGGACACATAATTCTGACCTTGGGCCCCTCATGTGTACTGAATTTAAACACAACCTCATGGTGATACCTCAAATATTTAAAACAAGAATTAAGAGGTTTGGCGCAAAATAGGTTTTCAACATTAGCACCTTCCTCTTCCATGAGTTTTTCCTTTAAGATGAGTACACATTGACCTCACCCTCCACTAGCTCCTGGGGCACTCAGCCCCTCTGCAGAACTGAGACTTTGGTTCTCTTTGCTTTGCCTTATAAATATCCTGTTCATGAGTCTCTCAGGGCAGGACTCTTCCCTGTTATTCCTCTCCACTGTTTCAACTCCTACCCTTACCACCTCTCTTGGCTTCATTCTCAACTTTTATAAGACTTTTGCTTTAGGTGTATAATAAAATAAAATTTGTACTGAGCCTGGAGCATAGCAAACACTCAGAATTCCCTTTACCTTTCACACTAGCATCGTCCAAAACAACTTCCACAGCGACAGAAATGCCCTCTAATCAGTGCAGCCCAATATGGTAGCCACTGGCCACCTGTGGCTACTGACTGCCTGAAATGTGGTTAGTGTGAAAATTTAATTTAATTTAATCATACATACCAAGTGGGTGCCACATTAGATGGGGCAGATCTATATAAGGCCCAGCTCTATACAAGACACCAGATCCAGGAGGGAGCCAGTCATTGTCTGAAATTTCTATAACCTTGCTCTGGATGGAGCAGGGCAAGGCCTCAAACCGTTTCAAAACTGTTCTAGCAAGCACTTAAGGAATGCATAGGGTCACCGCAGACCCAAGCACGCTGGAGGCTTGCTACCCTCATTCACCCAAATCCCCCACACTCAAGGAATCTGGCAGCCCACTCTCACTAAGCACCAGTCCTTGCTGGAGGCTGTGGGAAGAGAACAGATTTCAATTAGGCACCTGAGCTTGGTTCCAGGAGCCCAGAGCTACTGATGACTCTCAGGGAAAGATCATTTCTGGCTAAGGAAGAAGGGAAGGTGTCTTGGAAGAGATAAACTTACTAAATTATTAAATAGATCAGACAACACGAACTAAACTTTCACATTATTCTATGACACTACAATTCTAGCATGGCTCTTCACTGTGACCAGAAACATCCTTATCATCATGTAGTTAATATAAATGCAGCCTTTTCCCCTTTATTTTTCTCTCATGTATCTTACGGCTCAGAAATCACTTCTGAACGAGTAAGACAGGACACATGAAGTAGATTTCATTTTCCCCATGAAATAACGGTTCAGAGAAAACGCAGGCCTAGTTCCAGGAAGGCAGAGTTGGGGTCTTTGCAACGTGATTTACCGGGGCATCTTGCAAAACAGTTGCTGTGACAGTAAGCTCTTCCACTTTGAGACCATCACCTCAGCCAAGGCTCCCACCTAGAAGGGAACAAATGTAGTTAGCTCCAGCTTGTGCCTCTGAACCATTATTCAGCTCTAGCTCCATGCAACGCCTGGCCCACTCTACAGCCTCTCTTGAGGTAGGTCTACACACCACCCCATGCCTTCCGGTGAGGTCCCTCCAGACCACACGTCTCATACCGCCCATTGGGGTCCACCCAGGTCATGCAGGAGAAGCCCATTTCTCTGCTGAAAGAGAAGCACGAGGTTACTTATCACGTAACCCCCGAGTCTCCTCCGGGGAAAATGTTCCGAACGCGCTCAACCCCGTCTTGCGAGGAAGTAGCACGTGTAGTGAAGGCTTGGGCTCCAAGAACTACTGGTGCCCCCACTCACTGCGGCCCAGCCTCCCACGCCGCCCGCCACTCAACCCGATCCCCCACGACCCCTACCTGGGCTCAGGAACGGTCAGGCAACACGTGAGGCCCAGGATTGCGGTGGATGACTATGCTGCAGAAGACCGCGCCGCGGCGAGTACGGAGTATAGAGTACAGACGCCGCCAGCCAAGACTGACGCCGCGCGCTGCGCCACGCACCTCGACGTCACCGCATAGTCCCGCCCCGAAGCCGTGCGCGGCCCGGGCCACAGCGTTTGGGGCAGATTACGTCACGCTGCCGCGGGCGCTCGCTTGGTGGGGGGCGCTGGGCCGTAGAATTTGGGGTCCTGGGGCTTGACCGCGCTGCGTCCTGAGGCGTCAGCGGAGTCTCTCGACCGCCCTCTGTTATCCTCCTTTAGTGACCAGAAGACTGGAGTTACGTAATCTGCCCCTGCCGCTGAAAGGACGGAGGCCTGACTCCGTGGCCTGGAGGGGCGCGTTGAGCCGCTAATGGGTGGTGCCTTCCTGATGCGGCCGCACAGGAAGGGCCGGGCGGAATCCAAGCACGAAGTGGTTGTGGAGCCTTGGGAATGAATAGGAGCCTGCCGGTGGGAAAAATGATGCAGGTGGAAGGGCAAATACAAATTATACATAGGGTTTAATTTTCCCTGCGGGCGGAAAATAAGGGACGAGAAACCATCCCCCCTCCCTTTTTCTTTCAAAATTTCAGCATCTCTCCTTTCCAAATGTACTCAAGTCTTACTCTTCTATGGCTAGGCTCAACTCAGGAATGTTTCTTGGGAGCCATCTCCTTGAAGTGTAATTGTTGGCCTGGTGCGGTGACTCACGCCTGCAATCCCAACACTTTGGGAGGCCGAGGCGGGCGGATCACAAGGTCAAGAGATCGAGACCATCTTGGCCAACATGGTGAAACCCTGTCCCGAATAAAAGTACAAAAATTAGCTGGGCATGGTGAAGAGTGCCTGTAGTCCCAGCTACTCAGGAGGCTGAGGCAGGAGAATCGCTTGAACCCGGGAGACGGAGGTTGCAGTGAGCCGAGATCGCGCCACTGCACTCCAGCCGGGAGACAGAGCGAGACTCCGTTTCAAAAACAAACAAACAAAAAGAAAAGAAAAGGAAAGAAATAAATGTAATTGTTAAGGGACGAAAGGGCCCAGAGTCCGGTTTCTTAGGAGGACAAAGCCTTAACTTGTCCCCTGACTCCAAATTGCAAAACCTACATAATGCGATGGGCTATCTCTACTTAGCTGTATACAAAAAGTGAGTTTCTGTCTTTGTGTTGCCTTTAGCAGGTTGCGTGTGATGTACGGCATCACAATCTGGTTTAATACTTATTCAATAATGGTTTTCTGTCTCTTCTACGTTTGTGGAGAGGTTTCATGGGTTGGGAGGAAACTGCCGTCCACCCCCCACCCACCCCCAGGCAGAGGAAAGCACATTGAAAGGTCCTGAAATTGGGAAGGACATGGTTTGCTGGTGATACAGCTAAGTATTACAGTTTGTAGTGTTCTGGAAGGGTCTCAATGAGGAGCGGGAGATAAGGACTATGTGTTCAAGGGTCTTGAATGTTCAGGCTAGAAAAGTGAGAACGTGGTTCTATAAGTAAAAGCAGAGTAGTGCTTGAAACTTGTATTTTACGTATAGCACCTACTAAATACATTCAATCACCTTACAGTATACGAATTCCATACTTCACTAAATGTCAAAACCCTAACGGACAGATAAGGCAGAACTATTACTTCCAGATTACTAACATGGAAACTAAGGCTCACCCAAACAAGTTAAGTGGTTTGTTCAAGACCTCCTACAACAGCCAGGGCCTGGTGCAGATTGTCCTAGCACAGGGTTCTCTGATCTGTCCATTCTGCCACTCCGCTATGAGATTGTAATGGCCCAACAGGTTCACCTTGCCTGCTGCCTAGGCTGAACCCATTTATCAAGACAGGGGAATTGCAATAGAGAAAGAATAATTCATGCAGAGCCAGCTGTGCGGGAAACTGGGACTTCTTTTATTACTCAAATCAGTCTCCCCAAGCATTTGGAGGTCACAGTTTTTAAGGATAATTTGGAGGGTGGGCGGCAGCCAATGAGTCACGAGTGCTGATTGATTGGGTCAGAGATGAAATCATAGGGAGTTGAAGCTGTCTTGTGCTTGACTCAGTTCCTGGGTAGGGGCCACAAGATCTGATGAGCCAGTTTATTGATTTGGGTGGTGCCAGCTGATCCATCCAGTGCAAGGTCTGCAAAATATCTCAAGCACTGATCTTAGACTTTAGTGATGTTATCCCCAGGAGCAATTTGGGGAGGGTCAGAATCTTGTAGCCTCCAGCTGCATGATTCCTAAACCATAATTTATAATTTTTTGGCTAATTTGTTACCCCTACAAAGGCAGTCTGGTCCCCAGGCAAGATCGGGGTTTGTTTTGGCAAAGGGCTATTATTGTCTTTCTTTAAAACTGTAAGTTTTTCCCAAAGTTAGTTCAGCCTACACTCAGGAATGAACAAGGACAGCTTGGAAGTTAGAAATAAGATGGAGTTGGTTCGGTCAGATCCCTGTCACTGTTTCAGTTATAATTTTGCAATGGTGGTTTCAAGATGAAAGAGAACTGGGAAAGTAAATAGTTACAAAGGGCTAGAGAATGTGTGTTACTGAAGAAACTGGGCTCACCTAAGGAACTGAAAGAGAAGTGCTTTTTAACAGAGTGATAACCCCAAAAAATTCACTAGAGAAGAGGGGATGCGGCTGGGCGCGGTGGCTCACGCCTGTAATCCCAGCACTTTGGGAGGCTGAGGTGGGAGGATCACTTGAGGTCAGGAGTTCAAGACCAACCTGGCCAACATGGTGAAACCCCTTCTCTACTAAAAATACAAAAATTAGCCAGGTGTGGTAGTGCATGCCTGTGGTCCCAGCTACTCAGGAGGCTGAGACAGGGGAATCGCTTGAACTCAGGAGGCGGAGGTGGCAGTGAGCCGAGATGGCACCACTGTATTCCAGCCTGGGTGACAGAGTGAGACTCCGGCTCAGAAACAACCAAAAAAGAGCCAGGCGTGGTGGCTCATGCCTGTAATCCCAACATTTTGGGAGGCCAAGGCTGGTGGTTCACCTGAGGTCAGGAGTTCAAGAGCAGGGTGACCAACATGGTGAAACCCCATCTGTACTAAAAATACAAAAAATTAGCCGGGTGTGGTAGCACACACCTGTGATCCCAGCTACTTGGGAGGCTGAGGCAGGTGAATTGCTTGAACCCGGGAGGCGGAGGTTGCAGTGAGCCGAGATTGTGCCATTGCACTCCAGCCTGGGCAACAGAGCGAGACTCTGTCTCAGAAAGAAAAGAGAAGGGGAGATGCTTACTTATTATCAAAGTAATTAGAGGCCAGACGTGGTGGCCTGTAATCCCAGCGCTTCAGGAGGCCCAGACAGAAGGATCGCGTTAGCCCAGGAGTTCAAGACCAGCTTGAGCAACATCACAAAACCCGTCTCTACAAAAAGCTTAAAAAATTAGCCAGTCATGGTGGTGTCCGCTGATAGTCCCAGCTGCTCAGGAGGCTGAGGTGGTGGGTAGATCACTTGAGCCCCAGAGGTTGAGGCCGCAATGAGCTGTGATCATGGCAATGCATTCCAGCTTAGGTGACAGACCAAGACCCCGTCTCAAAAACAAAAACAAAAACAAAACAAAAAAACAAAAAAAAAACTAATTAGAAAGGATGCTAACACAAAAATCACATAATCAGTTTAATTGTGATTATGCTGGGAAACTACATGAGACTGGCACAAAGAGAAACATGACAGCAGTATTTTAACTGCTTATCAGAATACTAAAAATAACTTTCTTCAAACCCACATCTCAAATGAGTAATTCCATTGTTCTTCCAGGCCAAGTAGTGACGCAGGATATTTTTCTTTAGTTCAGCTAAAATCTGGGTTCTTGTCTCCCAATCAGGAAAAATTAGGCACATGGACACGTTGAAGGGTCAGAATTTATTAAGTGAAAAGAAAGCCCTTAGCAAAGAGGCAGTCCTGCCAACAGTCTCCCACTCCACAGATTGAATACCACGCCACCACACCGGAGCTGAAGAGGTCCGGCTCCTCCCCTGCATAAAGCGTGAATACCTGGTGGCTCCACCCCATTCCCCCAGTGCACACATGGGCCCCTAGTCTGAGCCACTCCACACTGATTTATTTCCCTTACTACACATATGTTAAGGGATGGAATTTTTCACCATAGGCATGTTTAGGCAAGCCCCCTGCACATAATGACCTGGATGGCATTTGGCTGTCTCCTTTCTCTATCAGTAGCATGTTTAGGGGAGGAAAGATGAATTTTCTTGCTACCCTTCTAAATTCTCAGCTAGAGCCCTTGTAACAAAAGATAGATTTTTTTTTTTTTGAGACAGGATCTCACTGTGTCTCCCAGGCTAGAGCACGGTGGTGCTATCATGGCTCACTGCAACCTCCACACCCCCAGGATCAATTGATCCTCCCACCTCAGCCTCCCAAATAGGTGGGACCACAGGAGCTTGCCACCACACCTGGCTATTTATTTATTTGTTTGTTTATTTTTCTGAGACAGAGTGTTGCTCTGTTGCCCAGGCTGGAGTGCAATGGCGTGATCTCGGCTCACTGCAACTTCTGCCTCCCAGGTTCGTGCAATTCTCCTGCCTCAGCCACCTAAGTAGCTAGGATTACAGGCACCTGTCACCATGCCTGGTTAATTTTTGTATTTTTAGTTGAGGCAGGGTTTCACCATCTTGGCCAGGCTGGTCTTGAACTCTTGACCTCGTGATCCACCTGCCTCAGCTTCCCAAAGTGCTGAGATTACAAGCGTGAGCCACTGCACCTCGCCCTAATTTTTTAATTTTTTATTTTGTAGAGACAGGGTCCTGTCCTGTTGCCCAGGCTGATCTCCAGCTCCTGGGTTCAAGCAATCCTCTTGCCTCGGCCTCCCACAATGTTGGGATTACAGGCGGGAGCCACCATGCCCAGCCCAAAAGATTAACAAGAGAAAAACAAAGGGAGCTATATTAACATGTATACTTTGCATATACCTGTGAGATGCCCAAGAAAATGAGTAATTCTCAAAGGAGTGGCTTAGAATTCAGGTTTAAGTACCATCTTCAGCTAAAAACAAATAAGGGAGTGAGGAAGGCCAGTTTTGGGAAAAAGACCCGAAGAAGCACAGAAAACAAGTTGCTGCCTTCTCCATTGATAAGGGTCTCTGGTGATTTAGAGTCATCTTTCTCTTCCTGGTACAGAGAGGGAGACACCCTTATGAAGAGTGTAAGCGATTTCTTCTAAGACTAAATTTATCTTTCAAAGGGGTAGCTTATGCTGTTTTCATAGCTTCTGTTTCTCAAAATTATCAGCTCAAAATAATCCTCATGCCAACGAGGCATATTTTGGGATGGCATATTCTGGTCTCCTACAGATGTATGCCTGAAAAGAAAATTAGCAATTTGGCTCTAGAAGAATAAACAGTGTTAGCTAATGAGATG